CACACACACACACACACACACACACACACACACACACACACACACACACACCAGAAAAGAAATCACCCCCATAAAAAATCCCGCTAATAATTTCGTGCTTGTCTTCGCCTCAATCAAGCCTAAGTACAATAGTAATTGTCGTTGTTCCAATTGTAGCTCTTGTTTTGATTATTTATGAGTTTAACGCCCTCAGCAAGATCACATTGTCTCAAGACCGGAGCTCGGGGGTGGTTGGCAGGTGTGTGCGCTGACTGATATGGCGTGTTCCTTCTTCCCTACTCAATCATCTATCACCCGTATCTCTCCTCCTCCTTTTTTGTCTTATTAACTCTCTTGTAACCCTTTTAATCTTCTGCACTTGTATCGCACAATTGTGGTTCAAGTTTCGTAGTTGTAGGCTCAGGGCATTTTAAAAGCTTTTCGACAATAAGCTTCCCCAGATTTGGTCCTTTCATAAGTCCTGTCCGAGTCATGCGCAGGAGGGAAACGTCTATATGAAAGGCTATTCCACGGTAACTGACGAGACAGAAAAAAATACCTCCTTTGTCGCGTCAGTCAGCGAAACTAAACACGTCACAGGATTTGCATAAAGTACTTTTTCCAAATGACTGCATCTAATATGACTCTTTGTACGTCTTTCAAATTTTCTGATCATTTAAAGTTGAAGTAAATGAGTCGATGTGGAACTACAATGTTATCGTTGTAAGAAAGTATAGTAGCCTAAAATGTCCCCCCAGTTACCGTAGAATAGCCCATAACCAAATAATCATTGCTTCCCTTCCACGATTGGCCAACATCGTCGCTGTCAAATATACCCAAAACGTTGGCCTCATAAATCCAATGATTTAAATTTGAGCCGTATGCACAACATTAAAAACTGTTTTATTGCTACATAAATACCCTGTTTACCCCTTCCGGGCCACTGTCATAAGCAGTCACAAGCACTGATTATATAAGCTAAGAACTGGATTGGTAGTCTACCTAAAAAATATGTGTATGTGTGGGTGGGGGTGTGGGAGGGGGGAGGGGGGCTTACTCCTAATAATCTCGTGGCTGCTGTGAGTTCTTGTTTTTATTTTTCCTCAACTTTTTACCGCTCTATGCAGATCAAAGTCTGGCCACAAAAATCAAGACAAAGACAGCCAGATTTGAAACCAAAGTGCTAATAATAGATATTGCCTTCTCTGCTTTTTTTGCCTTCTGTTCACATAGTATGAAGTTAAAATTTTACTGTTGAAAAATGTTGAGATCATTTTCCCGAAATACGTTTAAAAATCGTGATTTCGTTTTGCCCAAAATGGGGAACAAAATAATATAAATAGATATTTTCTGGACTATTTTGTCGGGAACGCATAGACTTAAAAATTCAGGATTCACTACTCAGTGGAGCTGCGTCAAATAAAAATGTGCTAATTATGTTCCTATAATGGGAAAGGTTTTTTTTTCGTGTGCGGTCTCATTTCTACCTATTTCTTGGTCTCACTTTGATTAACCTGTCAAACCCTTGGTCATGTGAGACCAATATAGCTATATAGTCAATATAGTCGTTATAGTGATGACCTTGCCTATTTTAGAACTGAGAATTTATCACATTTTTAGAATTCCCAGTAATCTATTCTATTTCAAAATGTTGACGGAATTTCTACAGGCATCTAATGTGTAGTTAGGCTCTTCGCTGTCATACGCAAAAACCCAAGTTCGGTCTTTTTTTTTTTTTAGTAAGGTTTTACAACGCTCGCAACTGCATAAGGTCATATGAGCGCCAAGGGGTGGATGTCAACAGAGAAGTCCAAATGGGGAATCAGGCTTACTCTGCTCTTCCCTCTATCCTCAACAGCACCAAGTCTACTTCAACTACCAATTCACCCCGGAAATAGCAGTTCACAAGAGAGCGACAAGCATACAAAAGAAGTAGAGGGAAAATGACGATAGTAAGGATGAGAGAAGATAAAACAGCAGTTCCCCCTATTTATCTGTTCCTGTGCAGTATGAGCATGACATTGATAAATCAGCCTATTTACAATTCTACTCTGCATAAAAACATGTTAATATACCCTTTGGGGAATGGCCTAAAGACACTTCAGTCAGTCGGTCTGCCCAGGAAAGGGAGCTGGGG